AGGAAGGGGAAAGGACGGGGGGGGGAGTTGAAGGCACTCTGCACATGGGCAGGGGCAGGGAAGGTCGTGGGGGGGCCCGATGAGCGGGGGACCCTCCTTTTAGCCCCTTCTTTCCCCTCCGCCCCAGAGGGTCAGCTCCTAGGGGCGGAGGATTTCCATTGGGCTGCGTTGCTGAGAGCATGGACGTTGACTGATACACGCGTGTTGGGGTGTGTGTGTGTGCGTGCCAGCGAGCTCGCGCAAACAGATCGTCGTGAGGACAAAGCAACACCCCTCCCACACGCACACACACACACAACCACACCCCCGGACGTGCAGGGCCTTGATCCGGAGGCATAAGGGCTTCAGCCTTCAGGGTGCCCAAGGGCTCCTCGTGGGTCTTGATGTCCCAGGCCGAGGAGGGCGTATCCCTTGCGGGAAATACGTACAGAAGTACACGTGCACACGCGCGGGCACAGGCCATGTCCCTATGCGTGTGATCGAATTTATTTTTAAAACTGTTATTAAATAAGTGCTTGGAGTGACTTAACAGTAAAAGCCTAGAAGGAACGAAATGCAGCCTTAAAAAAAAGAGAAAGAAATGGGGTAGACTATATCTATTCCAATATAATAGAGGAGCCCTCTAGATTTGAGTCCTGAATCCGGAAGTGTGCCATCCCCTCCCTTGCTCCAAAAATTCCCACCAGGCTCCTGCAAGCTCAAGGTCGTGGCTTCCTTTGTTGACTCAATCCTTCGCTTATTTGGTCTTCCTCTTTTTCTGTGGCCTTCAACTTTTCCTAGCATTATTGTCCCCTTCCAGTGAGTCCTGTTTTTCTCAGGAGATGCTCAAAATACGACAGCCTCTGTCCAGTCATTTCTGCTTCGAGGGGGAAAGTTTAGGTTTGCCAGAGGAGTATGTTTACCCTACACACAGCCCTGTAAGAATGGAGTCAACCTAGTTTGCTTCGAGGGGGAAAATTTAGGTTTGCCATTAAACCCGGAAAGGGGAGCATGTTTACCCTACACACAGCCCTGTAAGAATGGAGTCAACCTAGTTGCAGGGTGATGGGGCTGCTGCGCAGAAGGCCCTGCCTGCATCTAGTCGCCTTGCGGCCTCACCTCTCCTCTCATATTTTCTGGGGCCTAAAGAGTTCGGGATGTTATTAGCAAGAACCACCGCTTTCAACTGGCGTGCCTGCACAGGCGTATATATATATTCATGTATGTACGTGCATTAAAATCTACTGTATTTTTTGCACCATAAGACTCACTTTTTTCCCACAAAACAGGGGGGTGGAAAGTCTGTGCATCTTATGGAGCGAAGAAAACAGATTATATTTTCCTGTTTTCTTCTCCTAAAAAATCGGTGCGTCTTATGGAAAGGTGCGTCTTATGGAGCGAAAAATACGGTATATGATATGCACATGTGTATACAAATAGAGTCACAGGTACAAATGCATGTGGCTCTGCGCACACACATACACATGTCCCTTAATATGCAGAGTGTGGAAAAAGAGATTTTATGTGTGTTGCAAATGGGAGAGGGACAGTTCTGTCATTCTTTCTGTTCAGATCAGACTATGTGGTAGCTAGCTTTAGTAAATAGGGTATAAGAAAATGAAAATATCCAAGGCCTTCAACCCGAGAGAGAGAGAGAGAGAGAGAGAGAGAGAGAAATTCTCTGACACACACACACACAACCACAGTTACCTTATGGAAGCCACTGTCCTGACACACACAGACACATAACCACAGTTACCTTATGGAAGCCACTGTCAATTGATTTCTTGATGAACACCACTAGGCTTTCATAGCCAGATTCACTGAGCAGGAGGAGCGGTCTCTCTCAAAGGCAAATGATCAAATGGAGCCTCCATAGAGAGGAACAGAATACCTGCGAGTAGCAAGAAGAAAGCATCAGTGGAGGGTTCCAGCTTCCGTGTCTTCCCAGACACGTTTATTTTGTGTGTCAGAAAGAAGCAAGTGGGTCCCGTATTCAAAGTACTCTTGATTTAATGCAAAGCCTGAACATTTCTTTTCAAGTCTGCCAAGGACTCACAAACTTATGTCGGGCCGGCCCTACTATTAGGCACAGCAGAACCTTCCCCCAGGTAACCCAATTTTGAAGCCAAGATTCTGGGATTTTTAAATTGATTGGGTTTTTAAATAAATTATTGCTTTGTCTGTGTTTTTAGTATTGCTTTTGTCTACCATTTTGCAAGTTACCAAAGGGAAACTTGCAAAATGAATGAGATAACACCCAATTAAAAAAGGAAAAATAATTCAAATCTCCCCTTGAGTTTAGGCCTGCTGCCTAGCAGACATATTTACTAATTGCACACATACTGTATTTACTTCGAAATAAATCTCATTCAATTCAATGAAGCTGTTTCAAAGACGGAAAGCATGATTAGGTAGCTTTTGGAGAGATTGGGTTTTTAAAATAGTAACATTAACTGGTGGATTGAGTAAACAAATATTATAGCCCTATTATTTAGGAGCCATTTCTTCTTGTAGTTTCGCCTGGACCGGTTTAGCTGCCATATTTGTTGTCATCAGATTTGACCCGCCTTGTCACCATTTACTAATCACACAATGACATTTAATAAACGTTGGTCTTAATCTTTCCAATGCCCTTTTTCTTCAGAAGTCTGAGACAGGTAGAATAATTAAAAAATAGCTCAACTTTGTGTCTGTTGTCATGTGTGTTGCGGCTTAAGGACACCTTTCTGTTAATAGAAGTTAATGGTGTGTAGATTTCTGGGAAGCTGGGATGGCTTTTTTTGGTCCAGAAGCACAAATTTGAACATTTCCAAAGGAAATACTGACAACGCCCTTCTCAAGAGCCAGCAATTGCTTCCTTTAATAAATTGTAAGTTTATTTATTTATTTTGAGGGGGATTGTTTGTGACCCTTCGTCTCCAGCCGCCTTCATTATTATATTGTTTCTCTTCTGGAGAAACTGAGGGAAGGTATTAAGAAGTTACTCTGATAATGTTATTTTTATCCAATGTTTATGAACATTTTTTGTGTTGTGTCAAGAGATCTGTCTCTCATGAGGCAACACAAAAATGTTCATAAGCATTTGATAAAAATAACATTATCAGAGTAACTTCTTAATACCTTCCCTCAGTTTCTCCAGAAGAGAAACAATATAATAATGAAGGCGGCTGGAGATGAAAGGTCACAAACAATCCCCCTCAAAATATATATATTCCTTAGACAGGGTCCAGGTGAGAAATTGTGTAAAAAGAAGGCATTTCAACAGGTGAAGCTCCTCTGGTAAACAGCACCTGTTGAAATTCCCGCTTCTAAACAACGGTTAAAAAAAAAAGGCTCATGGGGCCTGCCTTCTTTAAAATATTATTAATTTCCCCTCAGTATTGTTCGAGAATACAATACCTGAGTACCTGAGGGTACCTATTTGGTACCTGAGGGGGGAACAACAGCCCCTCCTCGACTATTTTAAAAAGAAGTAGTAGTAATATGGCCATTAGGAAGAAATGGGTGGTCCTTCTCTCCGGACGCCCCCAATTTACCTCCTGAGGTGGCCGCCTCACTCAACCCAACAGTAGGGCCGGGCCAGCCGGCCAGCACTGGGAGGAGGGACGGTTGCTAAGCAACAGTGGAGGCCTTTGGGGAAAAAAGGAGGCCTCCTTCATAGAGGAGGCCTCTGTGGCTTTTCCCCTCCACAACACACAACTGTGAGGGATTTCTTCCCACATCGGTCTCTGTCAAGGACTTCTGCTCAGGCGGCCACGGCCGTTTTGGGGGCTGAGCCAGAGGGCCTGTGGGCGCCGGTCTTAATTCGGCGTCGTGCCAAGTAGAGCGGAAGCTGGCACCACTTAGGCCAGGGAAGGAGCGGTTTGAGGGGAGGATGACGACGCCCCGAATCTCCCTGGCGGTACTGCCTGGGGAATTCTGGGAGCTGTAGTCCCCCAAAAAAACCCACCGGTGCCCCTCTGATGTCGGAAGCTTTAAGGAAACGACGGGGACAGCCGAGTGCAGCAAAAGCAGTGTAGAGACTTGTGTCACCCTGAAAACACACCCTTTGCATCGGGCTTTGAAGACGGCAGCCCACTGCCTTTTGAGGCACCACAGAAGGATGCTTCTCTGTTGTTTTGTGTTGTGTGTTGTTGTTGTTTTAAATGTAAGCCTTTTGCTCCACAACCCTGGCTGCTGGATTTCTGGCTGCAAGGAAAAGAACGAGGTCATTCCTGCAGCCGTGATGATTCACCCTTAAAGGTGCTGATCCTGGACTCTCCTGTACATGGAAGAGGCCTGCTGTTTAGTCGGGGGGGGGGGGGCAGAGAAGGCCCCTTTTTGTTGTCCCCCCCAGGATCAGTCAACAGAGACTCCCAACTCCAGCAAACCGGGGGGCGGATAAACAAACTCGCTGCCCTTCAGCAAACTGGAAAAGAGGGCCGAGGAAAGCTACTCCGCACGCCCTGGGGCTGAAGGGGGTCCCTGGCCTGGACTGACTGCTGTGTAGCCAAATCCTTTCCTTGCTTTTCTTCCATCTTCTTCTTCTTTTAATGTATGCAAAGTTTCTGATGTTAAAGTAGAGGAAGTGAATTGACTTGCAGGGTTTATATACAGTATTTCCTTTTATGATCTTGTGAGCAAGCGTCATTGAGGAATGCTTCCCCCCCCTTCAGTGTCACAAAGTTCACTGCCCTCTATGACCACAGAAATAATAATAATAATGATGATGATGATGATGATGATAATGATGATGATGATGATGATGATGCTACCAGGCCATGCTTTTATAATTTTGATTGACTGTGCCTGTTATTTCTGAATAACAACAACAACAATAATAATGACTTCCAACATTCGTGTGTGCTTAGTAGTCAAAATGCACATAGTGGGAGGTAACAAAGATGCTGGTGTTTGTATGAATTTAGATTTAGGTTGTGTATGTTTTAGGGCTGGTATTTATTGATCCAGCTTGTATCCGTGTGTGGTGCATAATAACGTACTGGCCATATAGAGTCTCTGCAGGTACACATGGCTGAAGATTTCTTTCAGTCCTCATTGGGGAATGCAGCTGACCCACTTTGTACCCCCTGCACTCCCTGCACTCACGTTCCATTAACTTTCTAATTCCACATGCCTTTGAAATTTTTGGCATAATATTTAGCTTGCAAAATACTAAAAAAAAAACCACATAGGAAAATATATGTTAGGGTGAAATGCATTTAAAATTTGTCTTTTGTTTTGAAATGTGTGTTTTGTGATACACAGTACATATTGTGATGATACATGTCTATAGCTTTCAATGCAGTATGTTGGGGATATGTTTTATGAAGTTTACTTAGGAAATTATAAACGCTTTCCGGCTGGTGTAGAAAAGGCACTAGTTACAAAATGGCTGCCGCTTGTTGTAGGTCCAGGCCCATTGTGACTGCCACTGGTTAGTTGTGTGGTGCTGGGAATCATCCATGTCAATCTCATTTCCTCTTCCTTTTTTTAAATTTCAATTCCAAAGGTGTGAGCAGCTATGAAGATCAACGAGAGAAGCTTGGCTTTCTACGCTACCTGCGACTCGCCCACTGATTGCGCCGGCTTCCTCTACAAGAAGGGCGAGCGCAACACGGCCTACCACCGCCGTTGGTTTGTGCTGAAGGGCAACATGCTTTTCTATTTCGAAGACCGAGAAAGCCGAGAGCCGGTGGGGGTCATCATCCTGGAAGGGTGCACGGTGGAGCTGTGCGAGTCCACCGAGGAGTTCGCCTTCGCCATCAAGTTCGATTGCGCCAAGTCGCGCACCTACATTCTGGCGGCTGAGAGCCAGGCTGCCATGGAAGGCTGGGTCAAGTCTCTCTCGCGGGCCAGCTTCGGCTACTTGCGCCTGGTGGTGAGGGAACTGGAGAAGCAGCTGGAAGAGGTCCAGAGGAGTCTCTCCGGCCACCCCCGAGTCCAGAGGCAGGCACCGCTTTACCGGAAAAACAAAACGGCTCCCAGTTTGGAGCGGATGGCCTTAGGTACGGATTCGCCGCAAGAGAAGACCGCGCTCCCGGTGTGCATTCCAGCTAAAGAAAACGGTTGTGCCCTGTGGAATAATTCGGAAGGCCCGGCCAGCCTGCCAGCAGGATACCCCCAAACTGAGCGATGGGGCGCAAGGACCTGTGGGGCCAACAGCCTCGATGGGGGGCTCAAACCTCCGCCTTTGCCCCCTCGGAGAAGGGCTCTGTCAAGCCACTCCTGCAACTCGGGAAGCCTCGATGGCCCCGTGTATCCAAGCGGGACTTGTTTTTCCAAACTCCACGATTGGTATGGCCGGGAGATTCTTGAACTGAGGAGGGTGTGGCTGGATGGGCAGAATGGTAGCAGTCTATGAACTGGCTGGGATTGGAAAAAGCTCCCTCGGAAACACTGAACTAGTCGAGAGCCTGTCCGAATATGAGCAATCCTACACCCAAGGTCATGACTAAATCTCAGCTGCTGGAAACACAGGCTTGCTACCTACCAGTAATGCACAAATCATACCAGTCTCTTGCTGAATTCTTGGGGAAAACCCAGGCTGATGTCAACTCATAGCTTCCTTTTGCCTTTGACGATCAAAACCAGTGGCTCTTAGTTATCTCTAGCCCTGTATTTGCCTTGCACAAGGTAGCACCTTTTTCTTCTTAGACGATGCTTCCCTTTAATTTACCAGCCTTCCCCTTGTTGAAAACAAAGAGGGCCTGTCTTTTAACCACAATACATAATTACCACCCATTCTCCAGGACAGACAGAAACAGCCAGCTCAGCAGCGATATTGTGCTTCTTGTATCTCTGCTATTGGGTGCATTGATGTTTTTCAATATTGGCTACAAATTCCACAGTGGAGCAAAACTGTCTGCTGGTGGTGTGTGTAGTCATCAAAATTCTTTGAAGTCATTGCATTGTGTTCCCTGTAGAATTTTCTACCTTTTAGGGAAAAGGCAAACGCATTTAATCGGTTTGACTCCTGCTGCTGCCAAAATATTTTTGAAGGATAGCGGAGACACCCTCAAACTTCATCCTGTTTCAGAAATCTTGGCAGTGTTAGAATTTGGAAAAACCAGATGGTGACGTTCTCCTTGCTGTCGTTGGGAATATTCTCATAGTATGATAAGCACAGTTATGGACTGGGAGCCCTACATTACAAGGGGGACACCCAGTCTTATGCGTTGTATTTAAAGCAGAAACCCCCTGATATTAATTTGACAATGGGAAGAGGCGGTAAACTCAAAGAGGTACAGTACTTGGAGAGAACTGGAATCACTCGCCCACTCAAGTTTCATTCAGCTTCATCTTTAAATGATTCTGAGTTTAAGTGGATGTTTACACTACATTTGTACATGGATTTTAGTGCTTGGCACCCAATCCTACTGGGATTTGGAAGAGACACCAATTAAGTGCCTGGAATAAAAGAACAGTTGTTATTCCAGAGTTGTGACAATTTGAGTGGGGCTATGGCTGGTAGAAAGTGTGGTCCAACATATCTGGATTGTCGTCCTTTCGCTGGTTTAAATGGGGACACCTCTGTTAATCCTACTCTGTAGCTTTGTAAGAAGTACAGTTCAAACCAGGCTGTCATACATGGGAAGGAGAGTCTTCATGTGAGGAATAGGATGGCAACGTTATTTTCTTCCTGTACTGCAAAGTTGTACAGCTAATTAGAAAATGTAAACTCTTGTCTTTCCCCAGAAGCTTATTTTATCCTGTGTTCCGCCATGGCCCCATATATTACTTTACGTGTCACTTTTCATGTGCAGAGAATCTTTACTCTAGTGGGGCTGTTGCTAAACCCCTGGTAGATGTGAGGAAGTAATTTTTCACAGAAGAAAAATAAGAGTCTGAAAAAGAGTGGGTCACCCCCGAATATCTATAAGGGGTTTATCTGTAACCATCCTGATGAAGAAAGAAGCATCACGTTTTTTTACATTTTCACTCTTGATTACGGTGAGCATTGTGGCATAGTGGTTAAGAGTGTCAAATTAAGCCAAAAGAGACCCAGGTTCTAATCTGCCGTCTGCCACAAAGCAGTGTCGTGTTGGTGACCTTGTGACAGTCACTCTGTTCCCTACCTACCTACCTCATGGGTTGCGATCATATAAAGAGAGAGCGGAGGGGGCTTGCTTACTGTTCCAGGCCACTTAAAACCTGGCCTGCGAGAATAAACTCCGTTCACTGTATTCAGGTTAGCTTCTGCCTCCCTTTGAAGCCTGAATTTTTCAAAGCTTGAACGGGGACTGGAAACAGAGGTGCAAAATAATGTGTTCCTTGCAACAGTGACGCCTGGAATGAATTGCTTTTGAGAGCATTTAAGACATTACTTTCACAAATAGTGTCAGAATTTTTAAAGAATTTTTACCCATTACTTTAGGGGGCAAAAAATTCTTTCTTGGGTCATTTTGAAGGTTTTTTTTAAAAAAATAATTAGATTTTGTTTAATTTTTTTAAGGCAGACTCCTCCCAAGGGAAACAGCAGTGAGTAAAGGAACAAGTTACAATCCATACTGAAAAATCACAGGCACAATAATAAAACGTGGTTTCCTTAAAGAATCATAGCTGCTGTCTTTTCGTGAGAGCACCAACCCTCATCTTTTCCTTCAGTTCCCTGGCTTTACTTTACTTTACTTTACTTTACTTTGACCCTCATCTTTTTTGGGGGGTGGAATGGGGGCATCTCAGTTAAAACAAGTTCAACCACCATTTAAATTTGCAATGGAGATGAATCTTACTTATTTATTTATTTATTTATTTATTTGTGGTGGAATGGGGGCATTTCAGTTAAAACAAGTTCAGCCACCATTTAAATTTGCAATGGAGATGAATGGCTGGGTTGGAGAGCAGTTCATGCTGCCTGGCTTCCTGCTCTTTAAAGAGATGGCACAGATCGAGTTGACATCCCTGTATATTTTGTGGCCTTTCTCATTCCCTCCGCTTACGACCAAAAGAAGCAGATTTCGTAGACTCATTCAAGAATTAAGAAACGAGAGAGAACATGGTCTATGGCACTTGTCCTCTTCCGTCCTATAAAGGCCGTTTCCAATAAACAAATAAATAAATGACATTTTTGGATTTCTCTAGCACACCCACAAGCTACTTCGCTGGAAAGGCAGCTGTTCAGAAGTGTTTTCAGTTCCAGATAAAAACCACAAGCCACGCTGCGCTGATCAGAAATTCCTTGCAGACTCCCGGAACAAAACATTAAAAGAGGCGAAGTGACCTGGCGAGATGAAGCGAGCGGCGACGATCTCGGCTCCTGCAGCCTTCCTAAATCTGATTTCACTGCGCTCCCAACCGTTTTGTTTAGCTCCACCCCAGTTCTGCTGAACGTAGGGGCAGGCAGCTTCCAGGGTTAGGCAGCAGGTCTGTCATGTTCCTGCAGGAAGATGGTGTGGGATGATCATTGTGAAAAGAAATGTGTGGGTTTTGCCCTTTGGGAAGTTGTGTTGGGGCACAATCCCCCACCCTCAAGAGATGCCGGGTGGTTCTAGCCTGCTGCAGGGGTATTACACTGCAGACTTCTATAGAGCTCAAGAGATGCCGGGTGGTTCTAGCCCGAGACTGCTGCAAGGGGTATTACACTGCAGACTTCTATAGAGGTGCATGTACGGATGAGTCAGTTGTACTGCACTTTTCCAGACGGTCAGGTTAAATCGCGAAGGTTGCCTAGCCGAAGCCTGCCAAGAGCGGGGTGGCAGGGTTCTCCTGTTGAGACTGGCAGCTGGGTGACCAAAGCTTAACCTTCTTCACTGGGCCGGTCACCAACTGCCAGCTTCACTTACCTCTTAGGGGTTGGTTTGCAGATATAAATGGAGACAATGCCTTCGTCTCCCCCTTCCAGGAAGGGAGGCTGTGCATGTAATGAGTAAATGCACCGTCTGAAAAACAATGCCTTCGTCTCCCACTTCCAGGAAGGGAGGCTGCGCATGTAATGAGTAAATGCACCGTCTGAAATGGGATGCCTTCACTATTCATCACAGCAGGAAATCTACGTCCTAACGGAGGAAGGCAGCACTCTTGAACAGAGGCATCTTGAGGTTTTATAAGGTCTGAGTCGCTGCAGCTTCTACAGGGCAGGATTAGGCCTCCTGTGTTTGCCACGCTTAGCAGGAACCTTCCCCTGGAATGTGAGTGTCATTTCTTCGGTCCAAGGAGCAGATGTGAGCAGATAACCTTAAAAGGGCAAAACCTCAGAACACACTGAACAGAGACATCAAGCCGAATTCTTAACACAATTTCTGTATTATTATTATTATTTTACTGGCTCTTTTACAGAATGTGTGGCCCTTTTTCTTTAAATATTTAACAAAGTTCAATCAATCTCGTAGAAAGTTTTTTTTAAAGTACAGTACATGAACCTAAGAAAAGGTGACTGATGCGTCCTGCCAGCTTCCAGTATAACGGGATTTCTCTCTGGGTTCAAAAGACTATACCTAAGTGCTTAGCTTAAAAAGTCCCGCCCTGCAAAAGCTCATCTCTAGCTTGTCGAGGGCAGATGTCAATAAATCCAACTCAACGTTCAATTTTCCTGGCGATGCCCGTGTAACAAATAACAGAAGCTAACGGTTGACAAAAGTTGGAGATGGTTACTGGGCATTTCTGGGCCTTTGTAGGTGACAGATAGACCGATTAAAACTGGGAACAGCCAGTATTCTGACACAAATGCATACAATGGAGAGAAAACACACACAGAGAGAGTGCTTTTCGTGACAGGCTTCTAGACTTTTTTAAAAAGTGGCTTTCCCAAGGATTTTAAGGCATGACGATGATGTGAATATGTAAATGGATGGGTGGAAATTTCTGCGGAAACCATTCGTGTCAAGAGAACGCCAGAGAAGCGGAAAGCTCCCCCACACACACACACATTGTTCATATGTGACAGCGGTAAGTTTAGAACAACAAAATCCATCATGCTGATCGTGAAACGGCTGCCCTGGGCCATCTCCGTCCTCAGCGGAAGTGGCCGATTTCCAGATTTTACCTTAAAACATCCTGAAAAAACGCTTGGGACTAGGTCGAGTCATAGACACCCTCTTCCACCTTAGCCCACCTGAATGTTACGACCCCCCCTTCGTGCTCCCCTCCTGCCACCTGAGGGGCAGAAAAAGGGGAATCGGACAGGCCCGTCCCACGGCGCCCTGATCCTTACCTTCTGGCTCATGCTTTGGTCTGTTCTGGCTTTAGCCTGGCGGTTTTATTTGGCTCTAAGGGACCTTTTGCTGCTTACTATTCTCTCCTCTCACATATGCAAGGGCTGTTTCAAAACAGTCTGTTCTGGCTTTAGCCTGGCAGTTTTATTTGGCTTTAAGGGACCTTTTGCTGCTTGCTATTCTCTCACATATGCAAGGGCTGTTTCAAAACTACTGTAAGCTGCTTAAAACTTTCCTTATACCTGAAAAAGTTTGGAATAAAAGAAGTGAGAAAATCATTTGTTCCGGCTCAGTGAAAGACTGAACACAACTTGAAAGACCTTCTATGAGCTTAAGGTGTGGTGTTCATGGATAGTAGGTGAGGGACTCCGGAGACCAGGGTTCAAATCCTGGCCTGGCCGGGGGAACCTCACCGAGGAGAGCCAGAAGCAAGATGGGAAAGTGGCCTCATAGGGTCTTGAATCTTTTAAGATCACCGTGTTCGGAGACTGTTCTACTTTACCCCCAGGTTCTGTGGGTCTCTCTCGATGCAAAAGGCATCCAGGGGGGGCATCCGCTGTTAGCCCACCCCAGCCCTGTGGATATTCTCTCTCATCTAGCCATTAAATCTCTCCCACCCCGGTCATTTCTGCAACCTCGCCTATGGGCCACGGCAGCTGAGGCTGAGGATCAGGGCCCCATAGGAGGCCTGATAGCCACCCGGCAAGGAAAGATGGGCTCAGGCAACCAAGACTCGTGGCGCAGGGAGACTGCCGTCAACCTTTGTGCCACCCAAAATGAACGAAACCCGACTGTATTCTCACCCTCCAGCAGGAACACGCCGGGCATGCGTTTTTCCAGGGCTCTGTTATGCTCTAAGGCAGTGTGCATGGAAGTCAATAACATTCTCCCTGCCTGGGTTTTTCAATCGTCTTTCTCAATAAGCATTTAAGGTCTTTAGTGGAGGGAACGGCTGACCACTTTTCTGAAAGGAAAAGAAAAGCTTTTACAAATACTTTTATTAAATTCTCATCCCCACTGCCAAAAAAGATACTAGTTCTCTTGACAGTAACCCTTCGGAGTGTGACGTCAGCAGAGCAACAGAGGGAATGAAGGTGGAGATGGCAGGATGGGACCCTTTGGGTCGGTGAACCTACTCTTGGTTCCGGGAGAAAGATTTCCCGCCAGCCATTCATACCCTCGTGTGGCCTTTCTGCGGGAGTTACGGCCAGTTTAATCTACACTTCAGCATTAAAAAGACCCCCCAAGAGGTTGAGACCCTACAGGGGGGCATATCTCCTCCTTGCCAATCGTGTAACAAAATTAAAATAAGTACCAACAGAAAACAAAATTGTCTGGCAACTGAAATAAATAGCACACATTTGCCAAAGACTTACTTTGCATATTATGGGCTAAATCCAATTTACCAGCAGAGCAGGCGCATCAATCAAATGTGCATAACGTGGCCCATCGATTCAAGAGGCCTGCTGTAGCTGGGAGTAACGTTTGAATTTAATTCAAGAGTAATGGAATCTTGGAAAAGATCATTTTCGTTTGAATGGAATACCCCAAATAGAACGACTGGCAGCTGAGCAGACTAAGGATTGTGGAAACTTTGGTTCAAAAAATGTTTCCAACCTCTGTATATCCCTCTTTTATGAATATACGTAGCTGTATACATTATACAAGCAGATTATGAATTTTACAGCCAGAGAGTATGCAAAATAAGTGCGTGCAAATTTGCATCGAGATTTGAAAACTACCGACCAGCAGAATTAAGAAGCAGGTGGAACGTGGTGTTATTGAGATCAAAAAGCCTTAATTAGTGGGAGCTCTAACGAAGCTCGGTCTCCTTACCATGGGAAGTCATGTTTAGCACCTTTCAGACAAGCTTCTGAGTTATGCACAGCCGCACATGCTTTCAAATCTCCTTCCGCAACAATGAGGACCAGGAAGTTGTTTATTTTGAAATGAGTGTGATGATGTTTGAGACAGCCAGAAAGCATAACCAAAGGTGGCATCTGAGAGGGGACACAGAGCCCTGGCTGCAGCAGGGGAAAATAATAATAATAAAAAAAATCTTTCCCTTCAATCTGATGTCTTAACAGGCTGAAGGTCCCCATGGATCCAAAAACGAAAGGCTGAGCTAAACAAAGGGCAGCAATTTTCATGCATATGGACACAAACTTTTTTTTTTGTAAATTAAAATCGATGTAGATAGATGGTCCTGGTTACACAACTGTTCCTTCTCAAATACCCAGTGCTCAACAGATTTAGAAGTTGTAAAGTTTAAAAAAAAAAAGATGCTGCATTTTGGTTATTTTTCTTTTTTAAAAAAAGTAGACAGAACTTTGCTTCCAACTACTTAAGGTTCCTTCTCTGCTGACATTTCTGGTGCATTCCTTCATTCCGGTTCCCGATTGGTCACTAGCTAGAGGAAACATGAGGACTACGGACTTCGTTCTGGAACCATGCTACATCTCGTTCAGGAAGGCTATTGCAAACATATTTCTACAACATATACAACAGCACGCAACACTTTTTTTTCCCCTGTGTTATTTTAAAAAAAAGGGATTTCAAAAGATACCACCAGAACTAAAGAACAGACTCAGGATGGCATCGTAGGTTCCAAATTTAGAGTCTTCGTGGACTATGTCATCAAGTCTCTGGAAAAGTCGTATTAATGCGACATCTTAAAGACAAACACATTGGGAGGGGGAATCACCCCCTCTGGCGATCAAGTTGGTAAAATTTTGGTCAGTCTGATAGTGCTTCTCTTGATGGCTTTGATCAACGAGCCTGGGTTATACCTTTTTTAATTTTTTTTTTTTTAATCTCATCCAGTGGCAAACTACAAGACGTTCAGTGGACATTTAATGACACAACTGATACAGTTTATAGCTATCTTTTTATATCAAAGCAGCTTGAGCTGTTAATAAATTCCAAAGTTTCCTTTTATTAAAATATCTAAAAGAGGTCTATAAATATTATTTTAAATTCTTTTTTCTTCTTCTAAAAGTGTTCCCAAGGTTTGTTCGTGGGGTTTTTTTTTTGCCTGTTTTACGTTTCATTTCACATTTGAAAACAAAGGTAATTTTTACCATCCCATTGAAGGCTAAGAAAAAAAAGGAGCTACAGGGTAGCTATTAAACCACTCTTGTTCAACAAAATGGGAGTTGATTTTTGTCTCTTCCTTAGTAGGTGATGAAATTAATAAAATATATATATATGCATATATATATTTATATATATAGATCTATTTTTATATACACTCGGCTGTGACTCCCTGCTTCGGTCGTGTGTCCCACAGAGTCTAGAATCTGAATAACATAGTCTGAGAGGTTTGTATGTATGTGTGTGTTATGTATATATTGTTTTCTTGGCCCCTTAAAACTCCCATTCCAGGGTCTCTTCTCGGTTGGCCGCTCTCTCTAGCCTATGAATGATGCTGTTGAGGTTGGCCATCTTCTCGTGGCGCCGCTGGATGTTCGTACTCGCTTTGGCATTGGGAGGCGTGGAGCCGGTTTCGGTGGCAGAACTTGAACTCTGCCCTTTGGCAGTGGTGGCAGAAACCGGCAAAGGGGAGATCGGGGCTGACGAGGATGGAACGGGAGAGACGGACAACATAAGGCCAGGAGAGGAGGCTGCTGATGGGGAGTTCAGAGAGACCTCTATGCTGCACCGGGAGGATTCAGAAGCAGACTTAAAGCTAATGGGGTCAGGGTGAAACCTCTCCCCATGGTCTGACTCCACAGGGTTATGCAAAGAGGAATAATCCGGAGCCCCAACTATGTGTGTTTTGCTATGGCGAGCACTGCCCCACATGAGGCTGGGAGCCTCGTTTGAGCTTTCTGTACATGCGGCCTCCAGTTGTTCTTCTTTGAGCCGGGCCCTGGGTAGAGGCTCAGCCTCCCCATCCAAGCTACAAGGGTCTCTGTGGTCTGGACAATCATCCTTCTCGTTTAGCTCCACCTGCTCCTCTTTAATCTGGACCTGTGTTTCGCCTCCTCCCTGACACTCAGCATCTCTGAAGGTGGGCTTCCGGTCCTCTCCTTCCGAGTCAGGGCTCTGAGGCGGCGCGCCCGTCATCAGCGGGCCACTGGCTGGGGTTGTGCTCTGCTCTGGATCGGTGTCATCCTGCATTCCTTCCACCAGCATCTCGCGGCGCATCCGAGACCTGAAAAGGAAAAAAGGTGGTGACCTGGAGCAGCTCATGGTATCAAATTTTAAGATGCTGGGATAAGAGCTAGTCCAGTCCAGTGGACCGAACGCTGGTGGTGAACTAGGAAGAGGTTCGGTTCAAGTGTGGCATTTTTATGCACCCCTCTCTCAGGACCAAATGATTCCAAACCACGCTGCAAAGAGGCTTCAGCACCTGGCCACGGGCCACCAATTTTATGAACCCTTGTGTACCAATTTTTCTGCCCCATTCACGAAGGGGTTGTGTTAAGCCTGAAGAAGTGGGCTTTTCTCCATGAAAGCTTGCTGTTTGTTTGATCATTAGTGGTCCAAAAAAAGATCTCTACCTGTAGTTATGAAACCAGTTGATCACTGTGTTGGTCTTCAGGTTCAACTGGAACGACAGCAACTCAATGGTCTGCTGGGACGGGTAAGGCTCCAGCTGATACGCCTTTTTCAGCGCCTCTTTCTCTTCTGGGGCCAAGACGACCCTTGGCTTCTTAATCTGCAGGAGGCTGAGTTCTTGTGCCTGGGGGCTGGGGCTGGGACATTCGGAGTGGGTGTGGGGAGATTCGCTGTCTGAGCCAGCACCAATCAGTCCATAACGACGTTTCAAATATGCTAGAGGCCAAAAGAAAGAAAGAAAGAAAGACAATCTGAATTCAAGATGATCCACCAACTGAATGACAGGATTGGCTTCTTAATCTGCAGGAGGCTGAGTTCTTGTGCCTGGGGGCTGGGGCTGGGACATTCGGAGTGGGTGTGGGGAGATTCGCTGTCTGAGCCAGCACCAATCAGTCCATAACGACGTTTCAAATATGCTAGAGGCCAAAAGAAAGAAAGAAAGAAAGACAATCTGAATTCAAGATGATCCACCAACTGAATGACAGGAGACGCACAAGATGCAAGATGATCCACCAACTGAATGACAGGAGACGCACAAGATATTCCTTTATAATTTGTCATGGGGATTTGTGATTTCCCCTCTAAATATAAGAAATAGTACAATAAATAAATTTGTATAATTTGTCATGGGGATTTGTGATTTTCCCTCTGAATATAAGAAATAGTACAATAAATAAATTTCTACATGAGTTGACATCCATGTGACAAACAGTCAGGTGAACCCCCCTCAACACAGTTCCTGCTTTGTTTCTCTTGCGCTGACCCGGCCACAGGCCTTGCTCCTGCCATCTCACCTTTCTTCTCCAATTTCTTCATGTCCCGGAGCTTATTGATGTTGTGCGGATCATTCAGCCAGAGCTGCATGCGGACAAACGGCTCCCTCCCTTTCAGGCTCAGCTTGTGCCAGGGCTTGGGCCTGGAGAGGAGGTCGGACACGGAGCCCTGAGTCAGCCCCAGGATGCTCTCCCCAAAAAGCCGCTGACCTAAAGCGGAGAGGTCAACGGAAAGAGGAGAGGTTAGCCCGCAACTGGATGGCAACTTATGGGCAGTTTCCGTCAAGAGGTAACAGATGACAGAAACATCCCCTCTGGGGGGGGGGTGTGTCCCAGTCAAGTTTCAGTCATGCTGGGGAAACATGGCAATCTTTCGACAATGGATTCACTGTCGGAAAAAAAGGGGGAGTCTAAGTCCTTTCGGCCTCTTCTCCCTCTTGCAACAGAAAGCTGTCCATCTTCCCGCTCTACCTATAACTCACTGGGATTGAACCCAGGACCCTCTGCTTTCAAAGCCGATGCTTTATCACCTTGTACCCTTGCGCCAAGGCAAGCCAACACTGGTTCTTCTTGGTACCCCCCTTCCTCACTGTCCTTACTTTGGTGTACCTTCACGGCACTAAACATGGTGGGGAGAAGCTGCCACTGGGTGCCATATAAATCTCAAAAGAGACAAGTATGAAAGAAAGCATTGTGGGTTTTCTGCCCTCTGAACCTCCAGATTATAGTCTTGTTTTCTCCGGACGGGTGGCAGAAGCCTCTGTTGGGCCACCGTCCATGTAGCAATACGAACAGGGACCTCGGACCCTGCGGTCGCCGCTCGCCATTACTGAGCGCCTCCCGGAACGAGCCTCCGTACCGAGATTGTTATCCGTTAAGACCTCCTTGACCTTCTTCGTTATGGAATACGTGTCCAGCTCCGGAGACATGGCCACAATCTCCTGGATACCGACGGGAAGCTGATTGTTAGGACACACCTTCCCGCTGAGCGAAGAACTGGATCTGCTCTCCGGCTGCTGGTTTTCTTTGCTGCTTTCTAAAGCGAGGCTCAAGGGCTCAAAGGAGTTTTTCTCCGGCTCGGAAGGACTGGGAGGTGGGGAAGGGGACGGCTGGGTCTCCCCAGGACTGTCTGTGTAAAAGAAGGAAAGAAAAAAAGGGGGGGCAATAGGAAATCAGGGACCAGAAGATTGTGATGCACATGCAGAGAAAGACATAATTTTCTTAGCCACCTTGAGAGGGGCTGTAGCACAACAGTTCTCTGCCAGCATACACCAGGGGTAAGCAGAAGTGGTTTAGGAAGGAGGGTTTTTATCACAATAAAAAAAATCTGTTCAGTGGAACAGTACTTAAATAGGTAGAAAATAAACACCATTATTCTGCAACCCATGTTGAAAATGACTGGGAAACCAGAAAGTGAGTAACGGGAAGGCTGCACAGCCTGTTTCTCACAAACGCTATGCTGCAGCTCGAGGGAAGTGTGCAGGCTGGTAGAATTCCACAATCTGAAAAAAGTCGTTTCTTGGAAGCAGATTTCCCAGAGAACCTCCCAGACAGGGCTGTAATTAGGTTGGAGCAACCCCAGGGACGTGGTGGCGCTGCAGGTTAAACTGCAGAAGCCTCTGGGCTGCAAGGACAGTAGACCAGCTGTCGTAAGATCAAATCCACGTGATGGAGGGAGCTCCTGTCGCTTGTCCCAGCTCCTGCCAACCTAGCTGTTCAAAAGCATGTCAAAATGCGAGTAGATAAATAGGTACCACCTCGGTGGGAAGGTCATGGCGTTCCGTGTCTAGTTGCGCTGGCCACATGACCATGGAAACTGTCTATGGACAAACGCTGGCTCTACGGCTTGGAGACGGGGATGAGCACCACGCCATAGAGTCGGACACGACCGGACTAAATGTCAAGAGGAACCTTTACCTTTTTAACTCCAGGGCACCAAAATTCAGAGGGAAATCTACTGGTTAATGTTAGGAAAATACATGGTGACACATCCCAGTCCTATTTATTTTTATATTTTTGAAAGTGTAAATGCTTCCCTTTCTCTTCCTCCCTTTTCATGGGGGGGGGTTTCCATACTCGAGATGCCATTTGGAGTAGATGAGAGCCAATGCCACTTCCCCAGGTACCAAATCGGCTAGGTACGATGCTTGCCTCTGCCCCAGGGTATTCTGGGAATTGTAGTCCCTCCTCCAATGACCTTTTCCAGAAGCAGCCACTACAGGCAGGAATTCGGGGTGCCAAGAAAAATCCAGCCAATGTTGAGATCTTTAAGTTAATATGATTGTGGAAGAGAAGCAGCGTTTGCGAGTGAGGAAGTCTTAAAGTCTGCTGGGTAGGGGTATGCAATTTGCTTTAGGCACTGATATGCCTTGGGTCTCCCCAGAAAAGATGCTGGGAGAAAGGATCAAGGACAAGCAGCTTCCCACAGTGTGGGCGGGCCGTTCGTTCGCTCACGCTGCGTTTGTGAAAAGAACATTCAAACCCAAGCTGCTTCTCAGTCCTAGACACAAAATCCAGAACCGTTATTAAAAATATGTTTTGCTGGGTGCTCTTTCCGTCTGTCTCCTCCACCCCCCCGGCTTTTGCTGCCAACTTTTTAAAAACATTCTTTTCAAAGAGCCATTTGAAGGATGCACGTTCGCCTCATCTTTTTGAGCATCCTAATTAAAGAGGCTGGGGCGGGGGGGGAGTCATGAATGTGTCAAAACAACTAGCGTGGGAAAGATGTGAGGAGCTCTCCTTGTTTAGAACGTTTGTGTGTGTGTGTTTCTGCACAACATACACACAAATGTTTGCACTGGGAAGAAATCGAAAACTTAGTTTGCTTTTTCATTGATCTGAATGTGTAGGAGAACATATGCATGTTTCATAACAATAAACAAGATAAGAACACAAGGTTTGCTGTCCTGTCCTTTCAGGGCCAGACACCTGCATGAGAGAGAAATTCCTGTTTATTAGAGTGTTTGGTCAACGACATTTTAGACAGCCTTTTGTTCTAGTTTCATCTTGTTGAAGTTTTGAAGTTCAAGTTTTTGTTTGTTTCTAAATCATTTAAGTCACCTACCTACCTGCCAACCAGCCAACCAGCCAACCAGCCAACCAGCCAACCAGCCAACCAACCAACCAACCAACCAACCAACCAACCAACCAACCAACCAACCAACCAACCAACCAACCAACCAAGGAAAACTGTAATTTCGTCCATCCTTCTCCTGTCCTGGCAATCAATTTTTAACAATCTTTTCATACAGGTGAGCACTGAAAGGCCGTCCAGAGAGATAACATTGCAATCCATTCTTTCATTCCAGGCAGCAACCGGAGGCTATTTTGGTCTCAAGTGGCTCTTATTTTCCTTAGGGCCTCCAGAGAAGATTTCAGTCCAGGGCGAAGACCTTCCCCAAAGACCCGACCTTCGCGCTGACGTTGAGAGCACCTACTCTGAGACGGGTTGGCCTGCTGGGCGATCCCTTGGCCCAGCTGGTCCGTGAGCCAGAGCTGCATCCGGATGAAGGGCTCCCTCCCTTTTTGGGTCAGCTTGCTCCAGGGCTTCGGCCGGGACAGCATGTCGCTCACGCTCCCCTGGGACAGCCCCAGCACCTGAAAGAGACAGAGAAGACATGGGCTTCGTCCACTGGCGCGAAGGATAAGCGCAACCCACGGAACGAGCACAGGGCAGGAATTCCTGGTTCCCGAGGAGTACAGCCCAGAGAGGTCAATTAATCAGAAAGTTGTCGTAAGGGGAAGAAGGCTCGGATAAAAACTCAAGACAGCATTATAGGGAAAGCAACTGTGATCCAGAACAGCCCTGAAAACAAACAAAATCCTTCTGTGAGGGAAAGAAAGCTCAGCGAAAAAGCTGAGGGGGAATGACTGGAGGAATTTGTTATGATCCAGAAAAGGTCTTTAATGAGAGGATAAAAGCTGAGTTTAAAATGTTCTGAGGGAATGGTTGGGGAATGTACTTAAGATCCCCGAATCCCTACAAAAGTAAGAACCCTTCCAGAGTGGAAGAAGGCTCAGCTTTAGGGAATTTTTTTGGTAATGCTGATCCACAAAGTTACAAAATAAAGGAACTTTCATGAAGCAAAGAAGCTTTAAAGGGAAAAAAGTAACCTGTGGAAATGTTAGGCTACTGTACTTAGAATGTTTTTTTCCCCTACAACACCACATAGTTTTAAAAATGGTGAAGGACAGAAGGGTCCCTTGTGGCTTCATTTAGGGAACGAAGGGAGGAGATAAGCTAAGGAGGATGAAAAATATTGGAGTTAGAAGGGCAAAAGAGAAGGAAAAGGCCGGACAATGATCATGCTGAGGGAAGCTGGTAGTGCAAAAGGCAGGTGGAAAAACTGATCCCAAAGGGACGAAAAACGCTACTGTTTTGTCCTTTAAATGTCCCTGCAGCCTCAGGCCTTTAATGGCAGAGGTCGACAAGGTTTTCCCACTGTCGCTAGGGAAAAAGAAATTCAACAGGGCCTGGCCTGGCCAAGGAACTTGTCTAGACCAAACAACAGCAAACCTTGAAGAGGGCCACGCCATGAACAGAGATAATACGGCTGGGTTTCCTGACAGGGCTGGCACGGAAACAAATCACCCTGCCTCCAGTTATGTCACAGCACCCTAGGACCCAGTCTTTTTCGCTCCAAAGTTAGGAAAAAAAACCACAAACACCTCTCTGGTAGCAAAAATATAACCGGAAGAAATAAAATTACACTGGGTTATCCTTTCATGAGGCCCACAGCTGCCCCTGTCCGATGGGGTCGGTCCTCTTTCCTTTCCACCCACAGCACGCCCTACTCCCTAATCCGCCCCTTGTCCCTCTCGGAGACCCACAAGGTGGACGCTCATCTCTCTTTGGCAGCCACACCAAGTCTGAGGCTTTCCGCCTCCTTCTCCTCCCTCGGGGCCAGCCACTCCCAAGCTTCCTCGCCACTTAAGATTTCCTGCCAAGGTAGGTACCTTTTCCCCGAAGATGCGCTGGCAGATCCCGTTCTTGGCCAGCTTCTCCTTGACCTGCCGCGTTAACTCCAAGGTGTCCACCTCCCGGTACATGTACATCTCGTACTGCTCAGGCGTCAGAGGCGGGACGGTGGGCTTGAGGGTCCTTGGCACGTACGATGGGTAGTAAGAGAGGCGCCCGGCGCCTTGGGACTCCGAGCCGGTCATCTCCGACTTGACCTCCAGCACCCTCAGGGGCTCATCCTCTGAGGTGGGAAGGTCTTCCTCGTTTGGGGCGGCGTCGCCAGGCTCACCACGCTGCCCGGCTCGCCCGTTGGCCACGCTGGAGTAGCTAGACGAGGAAGAGAGGGAAGGCGACACGGAGGTGTACGGGCGGCTCAAGAGGCTCCTCTCGGAAGCCCAGTGCTGGTCGAAATAAGAGCCGGCATCCCCAATCTCGGACTTGACTTTACGGATGATGCTCTGCACAAAGGCAGCCGGGGACAGCACTGTCAGGGGAGCCTGGGCGGTGCTGCTGCTCGGGTGGGGGCCCAGCATCCCCTCTTCCTGCTTGATGTACGCCTGGACGATGTTCTGGCTGACAGCCGCCAAGGTGGAGCGCTCCGCGGGCGGGGTGGCGGTGGTGCTGCCCGGCCTGCTGGCGCCGCCCGATTCTATCTCCATCAAGGCCTGTTGCTGCGCCTGCATCTCCCGGCGGGCCTGCTCCAGGATGTTCTTGATGGCATCTTCGGAGTTGCTGGCGCAGGTGCCGTTGGGGATGGCCTGGGGCGCGGTGGAGTTTTTGGTGTCTCCTAAAGAGGAGCCAAAACCCAGGAATGAGTAGAAACAGGGACACGTCTGGCAGGGGCTCTAGGCGTGTTGCATTCTATCCCCAAACGTCCCCCATCATTACAAATCTTTCGGCAGCTTTTAAAGCTAGTTTTGGATAGGTTTCAACTAACTAACCAGCAACTTCAGAATCATTTTGTTTTCTTAAAAGGATACTATTGTGCCGTCTGCTTTATTTTCAACTATTTTCAACGAACCGTAGCTTTAAACTGTTTTGTTACTGCTATTTATCAGAGCTGGTTTTATTGTCATTTTGTGGTTCCTTCCACCCTGGTTTTATGGTGCTGTTAAGATTAAAATCAAAAATACTTTAGAATTTTATATGTTGGAAGATGAGAGCTTAATCCCCAAAGGTTGGAGAAGAATGGCTTAAATAAATAAATGCATTTAGGAAACTAAAAGAAAGGGCTTACTGCTTTATTCAAGATAATGGTGTTTCCCACATTCATGGACTTTTCATTCTACGAAGTAGCCTATAAACCAAACACTTCCTTTGCCCAGAAACTGGTCCAAAAGATTGCCTTAGACGGAGACTAAGAAATCCTCACACTGAAGGAAACAGCAGAGGGCACCAGACGACCCTTTCTTTCTTTAAGTGAGAAAACAAAGCTGAGGTATTCCTTTCATGCCTACAACATTTAAAAGACGAGAGATGGGCAATAGCTGGAATCCAAGGAATTAAATATAGTATAAAAGAGGAACTGCTACTCATGGTATAGATCAGCCAATTCACTTTCGCTTCGGGTAAACAGGTTTGACAGGTTTCTGCCCTGTCACAAAAAAAACTGAAAGATCTATTTGACCTGGTGTCAAGACAAGGTGGGAAGAGTGTGCCTGTAGGTCAAGTGAAATCCAGCCTCTCTCAAACCCCTTTTGGCTTTTTTTAAAGAAAACGGCTGTGTGATTCCAGTTTCAAAACGTGTCTACCTGCCAACCAACACTGCAGTGGGAAAGAGCTCAGTTTTAAGTCCCCCCTGGGGAGATATTCACGGTTGAAAACTCCCGGTCTTGGACCAACAATCGCGTGATCTTGTGCATCTACGAAAGGGCTGATTCCCAATCCACATAACCGCACTTCTGTTCCACTATCTGGGCAAAAGAAAGGCTCAGAGAAACCATCCACAACCAATCCCGTCAAACTCTCACCTCCTTTCTGGGATTCGATTTCTTTCTTGGCTTGCTCCAGGATGTTCTTGATGGCGTCGTCGGAGCCCGTTTCTGGCGTCCGGATTCTCGGCGTGATGCTACCTGGTCAAAGAAGCACAGCAGGCGGGCCAGTCACTCGCCTTGTCTTTTGGACCGGCTCGGCTCATGTAACGTCCAGGAAATAGAAGGACGAGGAGGACAAGGGTTCTGAGGGGCTGAGAAGAAGCCGCTGGGACTCTCCTCTTCTCTTTCCATCCTTTTAACTTTGATGGCAACGAAAGGCTGGAGAGAATAATTGCTGAGGTTGCCTTGAAGGGCTGGGGAAGCCCGCGGGACCCACCCCCGCCCGGTTTGACTCACCTCTCTGGCGCACTTGAATCGTCCGGAGAGCCAGGACATTCTGCTCGTCCGAGAGGAACTGCTTCATCTTGAGGAAAGGCTCTTTGCCTTTGACCGTCAGCTTGCGCCAAGGCTTCGGCCTGGCCAAGATCTCGCTGACGGAGCCCTGGGAGAGGCCCAGGACGTAATGCCCGAAGACGCGCTGGCCGATGTTGTGCTTGAGGAGCTGCTCCTTCACCTGGAAGGCAATTTCGGCCGTATCCAGCTGCTCCTCGTCCGCCGAGCCCGAGCCGCTGCCTTCGGATGGGTCGCTCGGTGGGCTCACCTCGTTGGCGGAAGCAGCCTGGCCCGGGTGGCTGGCTAGCACCGCGCCTTTGGCGGCGTAGAAGGTGGAGGGGAAAGCCCCCATGCCACTGGGTTCGCTCTTATATGAGGGAGGGCCCATCTGTTTGGGGAGAAGGGAGTCCAGAGGTATCCGTTCGGCTGCATTCAGGCTTGGAAAGGGGGACAGGGAGAAGGTCCTTGGGGCTTCCTGAGCCACTGGGGGACCCAGCAGGGGCTGGATGAGGAGAGGAGAGGCCGAGTCTTCCCTTGAAGTGGGCAAGAGCTGCTGTGGGGAAGGGTAAGATTGGCCAGTGCCCATGGAGTCCTTCACCGACTCGTCTTCCGAGGGATCCTCCTCTAGAGACCAAAGAGAAAGAGGGAGATACACACACCAACTATAGCTTCCCCTAAATGTTATTTAGGATTCACATATTATTTGGAGACAATTTGGCAAAGCGGGGGGTGGGGGGCTTCTCCAGAGGTTGAAGCACTTTTGTTAATCATCCACCCTTAGAAGAACACGACCCAGAAACTTGTTTAGTTCCGTAAGACCAACAACAAAATAAAAGATTGTACAGGAGGACCGTGGTATCCGTGGGCCATTGATTCAAAGTCCCCTCCCCCTTCATGGATGCCAAAAGCCACAGATAAGAGCAAATCCTATATTTAGCACTGTTTCTTGTTCCCTCTCAGGGTCAGTTCTGGTAATGACATAATAGGAATGCATAGAAATACGTATTTCTGGGATTTTTAATTTATTTGTAAAAAATATTTTCAGACTGTGGATAAGTGATGCCTTAGAGAGTGAACCTGTGGACATGGGGGTCCTACTGTACTTTCAGGACTACCATCGAAAAGGCAGGGCAGAGAGAGGAAGGGAAGAGGAAAGCAAGGTCAGTTACACCGGTTCTTAAAAATCACAGCTCAGTCAGCCTGGAGACAGAGGATTTCCCCGTCTGAGCTAAGATCAACTAGGATCAGAGCAGCCCATGACAGTCAATGCTTTCATCCGATTAAAGGTCAACTTAAGGACTTGTGTCAAGTTTTCACCTAAGGCTCCCTTCCCCTCTCGTGCCCCAAGGCTCCCACCAAAGAACCCTCTGCCAAATAGGTTCGCCCCCCCTGACTCTCTCTCTCTCTCTCTTTCCCTCATTCCCAACCTACCAGTACTGGCTAGAAGGCCTGGTTTCTCCAAAAGGTATTTCTGAGATGGGTAGAAAGAATCCTTCCCCAAGAGCAAGGGGTCAGCAGGTTTCGAGATGCTCTAAAAAAACACCAACGTTTGAAATGAGGAGGGAGGGTGAGAAGAGAGGAAGGAGAGGAGAAGGCATCTTTGTTTGAAGCAGATGCCAGCAAGAAGCAGTAGGGGAGGAGCAGAGAGGGATTTGTGCCCCACCATCTAAAAGCATAAAGCAAAGCAAGTTTACTTTTCGTGCATTTGCTGGTTGTTGTTGTTTTTTTTTCTGGGTCCAAAACCCTGGCTTCTGAACATTTCCGTGGCAGACCCACGGAGGGCACCCATGACGCTAGTCCATTTGAGGGACAGGCATGCCACGCCCCGACGTTTCAGGCTTTCTTCAACCTAGGAAGCGGTTGAGGGACTTACCTGGGAAAGGTTGCAGTGAGAGGCCAGCTTCATGGTTTTCAAGATGCTGCGGGAAGGAACGAATGAAGGTCATGATGGGTTTGATGGAGACCCTCTAAGCTGACCGTTCACATTTCCGGTCCAATCTTAAAACTCATAGCTAGCCTTGTTGGTCTACAGCTGGAGCGGTTAAGTTTCAGGGCTCGCGAAGTCAAAGCATGCCGAATTTCTCTCTCTCTCTCTCTCTCTCCATCCTCAAAAGCCTACAGTGTTAAGCTTTGAAGTCCACAACTGGTGTTGATCGCACAAGGACGGAGAAACGTCACGCTCCCACCCTTCAGTGCCTATCAAGAAGACAGCCCTGGATGTGATGTGACACCACATTGCTGGGGGATGCGTCTGCTGCAGAGACAACACCGTCCGAGGTACCCAAAAGCGAGGGGGGGAGGGCAGGATACGTCGGACATGACAAGCCCTTGGGGACAGGGCTGGGAAATGCACAGCAGCCCAGCCGTCCCCTAGGGCCCGGCATCTGGAGATGGAAAAGGCGCAGATGGGTGTCCAAAACCTGTTAAGGGCGAGGGGAGCACTCTTCCAACTTGTGGCTCCAGAGAGCATGTGAGCACCTGATCCAACAGAAAGCACAGAAAGGCCATGCGCCACCCACCCAAAACAAGGCCGCCGGCCCAAGACAAAAGGGTCTTACCTCAATTCAGTCTTGATCTCCTCATAGTCAGATTGAGCCTGCAATTTTTCTTCCAACTTCTAAAAGAAATATATATATGTGTGTGTGTGTGTTAGTATAATAGACACGAAACAAGCATCAACGATGAGTGTTTATGGGTGAAACTAACTCTACCCAATAACACTGAACCAACGCCCATCTATGACCGGCCCTCCCCCAGAATTATTTCCAAGATTCGCTGTGAGAAGAAAGGGTCTTAAGAATTTCACATATTTGTGAGGCTTCCGGGTTGATTTGGAGAAAGAACATGAACACGAGTGAGTTTTGAACTGCGGACTGTACTAAAACAGAAAAAGATGTGCCTAAACATGGTTTATTAAGTGAAATGTCTCAGGTATACTGAGTAAATGAGGGTGCATATTTGGTAAAACACATATAAATTAAACGGACACATGGGGGGGGTGCAGAATGAGCGGCAAATGCTTAAAATTTTCATGTAAGGAAAATACCAGGTTTCACCACTCTATGAGAAACAAGGACAGGAAAAGGATAAAATTTGGAGAAACACAACAAAATCTAGGCTGCGATAAATTCACTTTCCTGGTCTAGATAAATTGAGAGTCAAGGTACTTGATGGTTTGGTTGGACTAAACGGGATTAAAAAATCCCTTTGATTAATGAAATGCAAGGGATTTTTTTTAAAAGAAATCTTCAGGAGATGATGGGAGCCGGGAACAAAGGTGGGACTTAATTAATTCCAGGCCATCAAGGGCAAAAAAACCTTCCGCCTCAGTCCCGCCACCGCACCCCCAAGCATACTTCAATGGCCTCGTTCTTGGCTGCCAACTGGCGCTCCAGGTCCGCAATCTGACTGGCCGAAGACTCTTCCATTTCCTGCATGGAGTTTTGCAAATGCTGGATTTCCTTGAGAAGCCGAAGGATCTCCCGGTCCTTGGCGGCCAGGGCGGCCTCCAGCCGTGGCCCAGGGCACAAAGAGTAATTTCCTTTCTCCTGCAAAGGAAGATGATCGAAGAAGACACTGAAATCCCACCGGAAGGCTCTCTAGCACAGCCCTTCTCGACTGTTGCTATTGTTATGGACTTCTTTGAGAACGAGATGAACGTTGTAGACCACCACCACCTCTAACTCGGTTCGTCCCAGTTCGTCAAGATATCAGGACAGGTGCTGCTGCTCTCCTCCCCGCCTCCTCTGGCTCAAACAGCCACTGAGAACAAGATGAACGTTATAGACCAACCCCACCATCCCCAACTCAGTTCGTCCCAGTTCGTCCAGGTGTCAGCACAGGTGTTGCTGCTCTCCTCCCCACCTCCTCTGGCTCAAACAGCCACTCCCCAGGCCCCGGCTTGCTTGTCTGTCCCACCTCCTCAGCTAATCTCCCAGTCGCGTGCAAGAGCCCAGACTTTTCTGCCCTCCCTTTTGTCCGAGCGGGTGATCAGCCAAGAAGGCAGGGCAGAGAAGCCTGAGCTGTTGCCAGGATCTGGAAGATCAGTTGACAAAGTGGGGGAGGGGGGGGACAAGCAAGCTGGGCCTGGTCAACGGCTATTGGAGCCAGAGGAGGTGGTGGAAGGGGAGCAGCAGCGGCTGCCCTTACAAACTGGGACGAACCGCTTCGTGCCCATCTCTACGGGTGCCGGATTGTCCTAAGGCCCCAGGACAGCCCCCCTTCTGGGCCTCACCCCACTGAGTCCTTGGGGAGAGCAGCAAGCCAAGCGGAGGGAGCTGTTGACCGACGCCAGCTGTTCCCGCAGGCTCTCCACTTCCCTCTGGGCCGCCTCGGCTCGCTGCAAGGAGAAGAAAAAGTGGCGTCAGTTCGTCCTGCCAAAGCGAACAGCTATCCCACGTTTGGCGGGTTTTCGTTCCCGTCCTCAACTTGCACAACCAAGAGTCCCGCTTCTCCCTGCGTCGTTCCTCCATCGTTACCTGGTTGGCTTTTTCAAGATTCGTCACAATCATGGCCACTTCGTCTGTCCTGTGGGAAGAAAAGAGAGGAATTCACCGCCTGCAGCCTGCAGGGAATACATCCACCATTTGGCTGGAAGGGCCGGTTCCCCTTTATGGGACATTTGTGCTGTTGCAGAAAAATGCCTCACAGATCCCAGGACTTCAGCACATAAAACACACGGGATCCTAGAATCGTGGAGCTGGAAGGGGCCCAACAGGCCACCAAATCCAACTTCCTGAGCAGTGCAAGAATCCAGAACAAAGCAGATCGGGACAAGAGGGTGGCCCCATTTTCTCTTGAGTGCCTCTCCAGCGCTGGAGCACTCATCACCTCCCCCTGAGGTCATGGGTTCCATCGTCGTACTGCTCTAACAGTTAAGACTTTTTTTTCCTCTGGTATTCAGCCGAAATCTGGCATTCTGTCGCTTGAGCTCATTATTACCTGTCCCGGACCCTGTTTGTCAGTGCATGGATACCCTGCACCGTTTTGCAAGGGGAAGGTGGGGTAAATACTCTGGAAGGGAGCAAAGAGAACGAAACATACATTCCCCCCCCTCCCTTACGCCCATGCCGAAGAACAAGAAAGCATTGGATGGAAGTAATGGAATACCACCCACACTCTCTATCTTGGCTATATTTTCGTAACATATGCTCCCTCTCCATGGTAAGTCTGGAGACTGTTTGTGAACAGGATAATATTTATGTTATTAACTGCTTCCCACTTACAATTTCACAACTCATTCAAAGTGGGCGAAAAACATACATACGGCACCCGGCCGGGCATCTGGCTCTGTTTACAATGGCAAGGCTAACATCCAAGGTGTTCCATTATAGCAACAATCATCTTAGAACGACCCGAGCTGGAAGGGACCCTACGAGTCATTGAATCCAGCCCCTGTCCAGGAAGCGCAGTGAGGAATCAAACTCCCAATTGGAAGGGACCTTACGAGTCATTGAATCCAGCCCCTGTCAAGCAAGCGCAGTGAGGAATCGAACACCCAACCTTTAGCTCTGCAGCCAGTTGCCTAAACCACTGAGCTACCCAGAAGTCGTCTGCTAGATTCTCCAGAGGATTTGTTCACTTTGCTAGAGCAGGACGGTGGGGGAATTCACAGCACAAACCCTGAAAAGAAAGGACTCCTGCCCTCTCCCCCTCCACCAGCCAACACACCCCACAGATGAGAAGTCAACGCCAAGTGGTAGCTCAGCTCTTATGCCGTGCCTGTCCTCCATTCCTCCTCGTTTGGTGTGTTACGACAATAATCTTGATCAAAGGCAACACTGTTTACTACCCTGCACCAAGCAAACGGGCGCACGTGCCAGGATCAAAGAACATCTGGTTTGGAATGATATGATTAAGTGTTCTGACATGGTTGCATAATAAAGTGTGTGTGTGTGTGTGTGTGTGTGTGTGTGTGTGTGTGTGTGTGTGTGTGTGTGTGTGTGTGTGTGTGTGTGTGTGTGTGTGTGTGTGTGTGTGAGAGAGAGAGAGAGAGAGAGAGAGAAGCTGTAAGGAGGGGCTGGGAAGAGTGTATATAGCCCCACAGGACTAACTTTGCTCACAAATAAACCCATAAATTTTGTCAAATGGAACAAGACCGACTTACTTTGAAGCTGCCTCTTCATCGTATTTGCTCCGCAAGTCCAGCAGTTCAGTCTGCGTTGCCTTTAGTGCTGACCAGCATGGGGGTAAAAACAACAACCAGGCCAGAGGATAAGAAACAGACGTCCACTGGTGGGCGACAGATCGTGCTTGGCTTGGAGGACACCAGAAAGAGGTCCCGAGAGCCACTGTTCAAAACTTATTTTCTGCAGTTACACATTCCCTTGCTGAAAACGGGGTAAGGAATTTAACGTGCCTTAAACTTAAGGCAGCCAGGCTTCAATGAGCAATGCCATTTGTGCCAAGCAATGTGTATTAAAGAGTGTTTGCAAGAAAAAGGCATGCCCATCCCTGCCCGAAGGAGATCACCAAGTTTTGGGGTGGTGACTTATGTCTAGTAAGGGGACAATGTGGCCCTCCCCAGTGTAATGCCTATCATTTCCAGCCAGTTGTGCTGACGGAAGGCGGCAGTCCAGCAATATCTGAAGGGCTGGCCCTGGTCCAGTTACTCTAGATTTCACCAAAAATGTAAATTGTTCTCTCATATTTTAAGAGTTTTATTTTGATTGATTAATATCTGGAGTGTGTTTGCCAGGACTTTACTGTTGGTGCACGAGAGCAAGTTAGAAATGCATATTGTAAATTCAAGACAACCAGGAGAACCAGCTCATGTGGTTTGACAGTGCAGCCGTACAAAAACTTCCCTGCATCTAGACAGCTAGATATCAAGGAAGAGCGTGCTGCTAAAGCTAGCTTTCTGTCTGCAAGGAAGAACTAATCTATTTTTTTATTCTGTATGGAGAAACATTCCACATTTGACAGTGCAGCCGTACAAAAACCTCCCTGCATCTAGAAAGCTAGTTATCAAGAGTGTGCTGCTAATGCTAGCTTTCTTTCTGCAAGGAAGAACTAATCTATTTTTTATTCTGTATGGAGAAACATTCCACCATATGAACAGTACACTCGAAGCACAGTTTTACATCGCCTCTCTTCCTCTCTGTAGAGTAGGAAGAGCGATAATACATTTTAGAGGTTATGCTGAAGGTGACAGAAAAATGACAGGTGTTTAAGGATGGACTGGAAGGCAGAGAGAGTACAGTGGCGGTCAGATGGTGGTCTTCTAGGAAGCAACGGCCAACGGGCAGTCGCTTGGACAGCAGGAGAGCTTTTGATGGCTAACTATTTGGACACAGAGTAGTGAGAAGAATCTGGCTTTTAATTAAGAGCTAAGTGTGTGCGCGCACAGTGGGTGGGAGAAGGGCCCATACTGAGCCTCACAAGTGTGCAATGCCAGAGAAGGAGCGGGAGCTACTTGGCTGAGTGTGCATCTTTCGCCTACCTGAATGGAGCACAACGATCTTCTCTTCTGCTTCCCCCAGCCGAGCGGCCAAAGTGACGTGTGCTTCCTGCAAGCCCCTGGAAAGAGACACGGGTTGCCCCTCCTGGCATTCATACGAGGCAGACAAATCTCGCCCCAGAACGACAGGGCCGCCCTCTCTAGAACAGGGACAGGCAGCGCCCTCCGTCCACCCACAGGCCCTTTTACAGAGGACAGAAAAACCTCTTCCGTTAAAATGTCTTTGGGGTTTCTTTTTTTCTAACAAAAATTAAAACAAATAAAAACCTTCTTTCTGCCCCCTAAAGGCCTCCTGTGATTCTTGCACCAGGCACCTTTGAGAGAGGGGATGATCCCACCCCCAGGCCCCACCTCCCAAAAATAAAATAAACAACACTGGAAGTGTCCATTTGCTCACATTAAATGAAGAAAAAGAGTCTCAAACATGTCCCATTCAGGGTCTCGGCAGCCCCACAGCCGGAGGCTAGGGATAAAAATCAGCCAACAAGCTTTCCCCACCCCAAAGTGCTTCATCTCGTCCCAGCCCCCCAAAGCACCTGTCGGTGGACAATTGCCACCATCTCCAGGCAGCGAGGCCATGGGTGGGATGATGAGTTGTGACTCAGCACCATCCAGAATACACAGGGCTGAGGAAGCCCCTCTCCTCCCCACGACCTGCCAGCTTTGACTCGAGATAAAAAGCTGGATGAACCCTTCTTCCAAAGCGTGTGTGGCTAGGAGGGAAATCCTCTGCCAGCAGAGCCCAAAGCCTTTATTCATTCGGAAAGGAATTTCCAACCAGTGGAAGGCAATTTGGGAAACGCATCTTCCAGTCCAAGTGGAGATGAGTTTGGGTTTGTTTTTTTTTCCCCCCACACATCCTGCCTGGATTGCAGACAGCAGGAGGACATTTGACTTCCTAGCTGAGTAGAATTCATACGGCTTTAATAATTGCTCACCACTCCCATTTCTAACGAGGAGGAACGCTGATGTAAGAGACAAGTTAGGAGATCAGAGGGAAACTCCACAGGGTTGTCCATAAACACGGCGATGCAGGAGGAATATGCATCTCTACCAATCCGCTTTTAGGTGACCCCCCTCCCTCTCGAGCCCTTCACATGTTGTAGAAAATGTGCAAAGGAGGAGGGAGCGGGGAGCGTTAGTTTGTGCATCACTCCGAACAGGCTTTTTCTCACTCTGTATTGACTTGGCAGAGGGTGGCATGCAGCATAAAAGTGTCCCACATTCTACAATAAGTCTTTGACAAAGGAAAGCAAGTCCTAGACTGCAGTTATCTGCAAATCCATCAATTGGCATCAAGTGGGAAAGACTTGGGAGACGGCCCCTTTCCTCTCGCTTAGGGGTCAGGCTCCCCAGAAATTACTCACGTACTTTTGCTGGTCGATCTCATTCCTCTGCAGCAAGGGGTCTGCCGTCGGGAGCGCTCTGCTGCCAGCGAGCCGGGTGGCCCCCTCGGAAACGGTGCAACCGGCCGAAGGTGTCCCCTCTCGTTGCTCTGGGGGTGTAACAACCCACATCAGTGGCACGTGGGGCCTCCGTGGGGGAGAGGGGTGGCAAGAGGCTGGAAGGGTGGCAAGGAAGTCTTCTCAAGGCCAGGAAGAAAAATCTTAGCAACGGCAAATCAAGTGGGAGGGCTTCACCTGGGAAAGTCAGGCGCCCTGCTTCTCCGAGGGCACAGGATTCAGGGGGCAACCTTATCTCTCCCCAAAGGTGGCCCTTCCTGCCTGGATTACCTTTGCTAATCATCACCGTGTGCGTTCAAGTCAACTCTGACTTATAGCGACCCCTTTTTCCAGGTTTTCCGGCTACAGAATATTCAGAAGTGGCTTCCTATTCCCTTCTTCCAGGGACTGTGCAGTTCACCCAAGGCTACACAGGCTGGCTCTTCTCCCAGGAGACACAGTGAGGAATCAAACTCCCAACCTCTGGCTCTGCAGCCAGAAACCTCACCCACTGAGCTATCCATCCAACTTCTAAACCAGGGACTTGGAACACAGCCTCGAGGGGTTGACGCAGGACGGTGCAAAGGCCGGGTGGGAGGGTGACACCAACACCTAGCCCAGATTTTTGGGTACCTCTTGGGCACGGGAGCTCAGCGTTCTTCTTCCAGGGCCTGTTCAGTTCCTTCAAAGCTGGGTTCTCGGGGCCAAGACAATGCAGCTGCCGTCGGCCGTCTTCCAAGCCACGCACGGTTTCAAGGGCAGGCGTAGGATCTGGATAGGGTAAAGGAAAGATAGAGGAGAGGTGAGGCTCAGCACCTCCCTCCTACTCCTCCAGGAGCTCCGTGCGCGGAGGGCGCCCATTCCAAGAAGGCCAAATGACCCTTGGCAATATAGGTACATTTCTAGTTTTTACTTCCACACGCTGACATTCGTACCTTGGGGAAGCCCTGGGACAAGCAGTGCAGGAGCCATTTCAAAGAACGCAGAAAGTCAAGACAAGCCTTTATATGTAAAAACTTATATTTCAGTTTACTTTGACATAAATTAAGAGCGGTATAAAACTACAAAACACGTTTTCCTTCACATCACACTCTAGTCCCTTCCAGATCATCCTCTACGTAGCTAGATTTCTTTCTTTTTTTAAAAAAATGGACAGGGGAAATAGCCATTCCTGGAAGCTTCCGGGAATGCTAACTCTCCTTTCCATACTGGGGACAGCTCCGCCATGATGGCTGCCTTGCTCCATGCCCTCAAATGCCTTTTTACAAACCGGGAGTGGGTATCTGGCCCCATCCAGTTCTGGAAGCAGGTGGCAGACGGCCATGACACACACACACCCCAGGGTAGGAGAGGGGAAACTGGCTCTCAATCCCTGGGGCTGGCTTCCGACCCAAAGGGGTGGAAACCTGAAAGTGGCAGATTCCCCGGAGGCTGGCAGACCCCAGTTGCATCCTGCACTTTTGCACTCCCCCTTCAGGATTCGCAGCGCGAGCTGGGGCTGCATACGCTCTGCCGCTGGTCCTCAGCATCTCGCAAAGGAAGGGTTGACAGGAAAGTAAGGGACGAAGCAGCCACCGAGGCCAAGCTGTCCCGTCGGTGACTCTGCATCACTTAGGAAAAGGAGGACCACTGTAGAAGCTCAGATCTGGCTGCCCTTTGTCGGCTGCCGGCTCGCCAGCAAGGCTGCCGACGCTGCAAACGGCAGAGGGAAGACGGTCTCTTCCGTCCTGGGCTTAAAGGATATTCTATCCAGGCCCCTCTCGCTGCTACAAGCCTGCCTCAGTTACCATCCAACGGCACGTTTGGCTAATAATGCCTGTTTACTTAGGCCACGGTGGGCACAGACAACTGCGGGTTTCTGCCAAAGTAAGCAGGTGCATCCCAAGCAGGCCTCCTCCTCCTCCTCCTCCTGCCCCCCCCCATCAGCAGCACGTCTCGTCATTAGCTCGGGCGTCTGCTCAGCAGGGGTCCCCCGTTATGCCTCCCAGGGCCGATGTAATTATACATTGACATAATTAACCCAGCAAGCCCATTAGGAAGGCCAGCTAAAAAATTCATCTATAATTATTTGTTGTGTGCATGCTAATGAGTCCATCTGCACCGCCATTGTATAACACGGACAAATTAATTTACAAGTCTGGATCTCTTTTAATAAGTCCGAGGCAATGGGCTCCTGTTTGTGTTTGCTCGTCCTCTTTCTCTCTCCTGCCCTTTAACGAAGGGGTTGCCAGAAAACGGAGAACAAAAACTGCAGAGGGTGAAAAATCAGGTACACGCAGGTCGCAAGCAGACGAAGGAGGCTTTACCTGAGCAAACAGCAAAGGAAGCCAGTAATAAAATGACAGTTATTCCGCCTCAAGACAAGGGTACCTGTCCCAAAATAATTAGAGGTGGGAGAAGTCGAAGCGAGCTATCGGGAATTATTATCCTTGGGAAGGAGGGCATCAAGGCATAATCTGCTATAAAATGCCCAGTTCTCAGCAGGATGGTGACCTTTCGGAGAAAACGGCTGAAGTCTAAGAAACAATTGGTTTTCCTGGAAAGCACCGCCTCCTCGCCACCGTTTTCGGGCAGAGAGAGTCTACCACTGAACGTGGCAAGACAGGGTCTGCTCTGACCCACATCTTGGGCTGACAGGGGTGGAAGAACCCACCAGGGGATAGCAATCTGGAGATGAGGAACGTAACCTGAGGGAGCGAGGAGAACGTGAGCCAAAGATGCCATTTCTGAGGCGGGGCAGCCCTGTCTTCTGGTTTAAGCCTTGTCTGGCACTTGTTCTGGTATATTCAACGCGTGGGCTCAGTGGTCAGACAGAGCATTACATGGCATCACCTCTGACCAGCGCTTGCAAACATTTTCATTTGTAGGCCTGGTTAACAACTCCCATAATCCTCTGGAGGGCTCTGGGAGTTGTCGTCCCCCCAAAAAACAAGTTACATTGACCATAAAAAGTTACATTATACCAAACTGTGTAAACAGAAGATAACAATGGTTTGAAACATAGTTTCATTGGGTGCCTGGATAACTAAAATGATACATGAATGTGTTCTCTTCTCTCTCTCTCTCTCTCTCTCTCTCTCTCTCTCACACACACACACACACACACACACACATACACACACACAGAGAATGATTCTATGAAGCTGAGATGATAAATAGACGTTGTAGGCCACCAATCTTATCTGCACCCTTCGGAGGTCTTGGGTGGCCATCACAGACCGCCTCTCCTTGCTGACTCCCTCCTTATCAGGACGGCTCAGAGAAACCATCTGGGCTGTCCTCTCCTTCCTGTTGCCGTTCTAGATTTAGGAAGGTCCCCAGCCCTCACCCGTCCCCCTCTTTCTCCCCACTGAAAAGCCACCCTTGGCACCGAGGGACGTTCTGGACCACAGGCCTAAAAGCAAGTCCATCCCTGCAGAGGGAGAAACACCGTGGAAGGCAAGGAAAACCCTAAAAAGGAATGAAACCCAATGACAAGATCCTGCCCTCAAAGGTTCTTAAAGCCCCGACCCAAACAAGGCCTTCTTCTTTGAAAGCTTGGTCACCTGTGGGCGGCACGGTGCAATGGATAGAGCGATGGGCTAGATTAATGGGACCTGGGTTCGAATCTCCACAGGACCGTGGAAATTCACAGTGGCTGGTAAAAAAATTCTTTAATACTGTACCTCACTTAGCAGAAAAGTCCTATAAAGGTCATTTAAAGTCAGCTCTGATTTGAGGGCACAGGGCAAAGGAATGCCTCTCGAGCTAGCCAGTTGAGCCATTAGTCCAGCCCATTTTAAAGCAACTCAGCATCATTTAATCACGGATGAGGGAATCGTGCAGGGGGCTCCGTGTGACCCTCCCCAGTCCTCCAACAGAGGGGAAACAGCCGGTGAGTTCGTATAGAAGAAGCAGGAGGCCAGCCTTTGCTAGTCACCTGGCCTCTGGCCCCCTCGCGCCGGGGAACCATTAACCGCAGAGCCACGCAAGACTCCATTCGAGTTCTATGCCGGCAAAAACACGGGCTCTCGGCATATTCCGACAAATGCAGCTGATAAAGAGGAGGAAACTGGCCCACAAAGCCACTCCTAAATGTAATTTAATAACCTGCCTTAAGCAGATGGAAGCAACAGAGAAGACCCACAAACTGCCCTCTAGCTAACGTTACGTAAAAGGTGCCATCTTTAAATCATCCAAGGAGTTCTTTTTCTTCGGTCCATCCTAGTGATCCCTCCTCAAAATCCGAGGAAATCTTTGGGTCCTCTCCTCGGAATCTACAATACGAAGGTTTTCAACCTACCCTAAAAAGTTGTTGAAAAGGTCACAGAGAGGCCACAGAATGGAACAGGCTTTGAACGCTCTCGAGAGTCTCTTTAAACACTCTGGTGGAAAGCAGACAACGGTGTCTACCTTATTCATACAATGAAAAGCAAATAGATAATTTTTCCCCCTCCACAAGAAAGGTGACTCCTTCTCTTTCAATTTTTGTCTCATCCCAAAGGAGCCCCAGAAAGAAGCTTTCCTTCCCCGTTCAGCTGGGCACAGATTCGGCAGCCAACACCTGGAAGGCCATAAATTCAAAGCCCATAAAAGGGCCGCTGCATCTTTTTCCGCCCAGCTTACGATCCACCTGTAGGACTTCCAGCTGTGGAGGGTCATCAGCAAAAGAGACCAAGCGTAGCTGCATATGAAGAAGAGGGGGGCAGGATGGTTTGCCAAGGGGGGAAAAAAGAGGACTGGATAACGTTACAGCCGTTAATAACATTTGCAGCTATGCAAGCTAAGATAACGATATGGGTAATTAAACCTTAATGCTTCAGGGTATGAGCTGATGAGACTGCGCTGGCCAAGGAGAATTCAAAATCTTCACAGGCCTGTTCAGTGGACCGTCAGCGCGCTTGATATTTATCCACAGCTTGAATTGGGGAGGCTGCTAGGGAAATCCTGTGCCTGGGTTGGGCTCCTATTTTGCGCAAATTCAGAGAATTCCATGTGTCCCTAGCCCTGACCTTACTTAACAACTTCGATCTTAGCACTGCAGAGGAAGGGAAGGGACCCTGTGGATGATGGAGACCAGCCCCTGTCCAGGAGGCCCAGTGGGGGAATCGAATTCCCAACCTCCGTCTCCAGTTCTTCCAGTCCAAGCACGATTGCCTCTTTTGTGGGAGGGTGCGCTACAAGCACAATGAAGAAATCAGCTGTTGCCGCTGCACAAGTCAAAATGGAGGACTAAATCACACCATTCTTGAAGAACAATGACATTAATTATGCCTTTAACACAATTTTACTGCTTGCTTAGCCCACAACACGCACACACAGACACACACACACACACCTATCCCACAACACGAACACACACACACACACACGCACACATCTCGCTTCTCCATGCCCACATCTGGGTGAACAATCTCCCTTCTCCATGCCCACATCTGGGTGAACAATATCAGAAAGATTTACGGGGTTTCTTCCCATAATTACAGACACACAATCCCGGGCTCACTTTATGAAAATATCTGCTGAGAAATCACCATTTCTTGTTGCAAACCTCGCTGGAGGTTTGCACTGACAGAAAGTGTTGAATCAGGAACACGTTCTCTAGTTCTGAAGTCTCCTAACAGAGCGTTTGCTTGTCAATGAATATACATATATTTAGAGCTGCAGGCAACTATCTTTCCAGGGCAGGAGTTGGACACAGGAAGCACTTAGCAAAGATGTGCAGCGAAACTCAGCAAGGATCGCTCAGGTGGCCCTAAAGTCAAAATCAAGCAGGCAAAAAAAAGAAAGGGACTGAATTTACATATAAAAATCGGTGCAGCTGCAATATTTATGGTGTTTAAATGTGTTGCATTAATCGATGGAAAACATATTGATCCAGCACAGCAAAGATCGAAAGGCAAAGAACTGTAACTCCACCCCTTGACTTCCAAACAACGGAGGCCCAGCTCAGCTCCCTCTTACTTCTGACGTTTCACCAAGCTTTGCTCACCTCTTTGCATGAGGACCATCGTGGCCATGAGGGCTAGGAAGTTGCTTTCACTTAATATTTTAGATTCCGAAATCTAGGCTTGCACGTTGCAAGGAAGAATCAGATACCGCCTTGTTTATATGTCCAACATCTTTGTTCCAAAGGTGCATAAACGCTACTATGCACACTGCGAGACTCCCAACCTGGGCCCCCCTCCCAGAGCCATCAGCTTTACATCCCACTGTCCATCTCTTGGCTGCGAAGGGAGCTCAGTCATCTTAACGAACTCAGTGTCAAACAGATGAGCGCGGATCGCTGCAGCGTCATTTTTACAAGGCGTGAGCAAATTTATTCCTTTTTTAATTGTCAAGACAGATTTGGCTCAGGCACTGGAACACAGCAGCAGCAAAAGATGTTTCCACTTGTCTGTTGTGCCAGTGCTTCAAAAAGGAACACGGAGGAGGCTCACGCACTGCCAGCCCTTCCCGCAGTGCAGGGAGCGGAGAGCGGCATCGTCCGAAGCGACAGAGAAGTGGAATCGGGTACATATTTGGTGTTCAAATCAGTTCATCAACATTTCATGCTGCCGCTTAATGGCAAATTTCTGCATCAAGAAATGGTGAATTTAGAGACGAGTTGTATGTTACGCTATAACCGTGGCGGCAAACTTTGACTTAAAAAGGTATTTCCGGTGAAGTGCAAAGTTTTTTTTTCACAAAAGCATGATTATTTTTGACACAGTGCCAAGATAACCAAAGATATCAGGTACTATCTGAGGAAATGCATGCCCCCCCATATAACTGTAATAGGCCAGAATGCCTCATCTAAAATGGTGCTTTTGTAATCCTTGTGGGGAAAGATGATAACAATCATTATCATCATCTTAGAACTCAAAGCTGGGTCCAGTCCCTGCCAAGGAGGCACGGAGGGGGATCCGAACTCCCAACCTCTGGCTCCTGAGCCAGACACATCAACCATAATCATCATCACCAGCATCTTCGAACAGCAAAGCTGGAAGGGACCCTATGGATCATGAAGTCCAGCCTCCATCAAGGAGGCCCAGCGGTACCTGAGGCTACATCTGTGAACCAAGACGTCTGGGCAATCCCTACCAGATATTCAGAACAACAATTTTGGCATTTTTTAAAAAATCATTCAATTAAAACGCCCCAGCTCTTCCATACCTGGTGCTTCGATTAATTGCTTGTAAACGCTCAGGAAGGCCGCCTCTGCTTCCTTGCTTCTTTTACTAAGAGCAACCACCTGAGGGAACACGGAAACAAAATAAGGGGAGCGGAATAATCAAGGACAATACATTTAGTATCTCGTAGAAAACTGCTCTCATGAAGGCCGCGCCAGATGTGGGCTACCTGATGGAAACAGATCGTTAGCCATGTTTCAATACGGAAAAGCTTTCTTAGCAGCTCAGTTAGGACCCAGCTTTACAGAAATGTTGGGATTTAAATCGATTTCTTCCTCTCCACCCTAACACAGACCCGTTGGGGCTTCCACCCACCAGAACTCCCAGCCTTCTTTCCATAGTCAAAGTTGTTCACAAAAATCTCACTCTGAGAGTGCGCCCCGCTTGAAATCGCTTCCCCAAACTGCCATTCAAACTGGCAGGAAGACCCAAGAAATAATTAATCTTCTCTAATTAGGTGTCAGGCATGCCGTCTGGACTCCTTTTCAACCCTCCTCTGATAGCTGGAGGCAAGACATGAGTCTAGAAAAGAGACCATATATATTCAGTCCTATATCCCAGCAGTGGTACTGGAGTACTACTGAACAAATACTAGTTTGTTTATCATTCTGTGGGTGGGATTAAAGTAGAATTGGGAAAATTTTATCTTAAAAAAATGAAAACACTTTGATTCCTGGAATCCCCCAGCCAGCATGATTTGGGGAACTGTAGTTCTTAAACACACGCACACACATGCACACACTTTGGAAAGTTTTGTTTTGCCTTATTCCCTACCCACCCCCTTTGCTTGGTTGGCATCTTAACACAGCGCCGGTCAGAAAAAAAATGCATCCTTGTACAAAATGGACAAATATTGGCATAGGATTCGGCAATGCTGCTTTATCTGCCAAGAGGCAGATTTAGAAGCAAGGGTTGAAATTTGAACCGAAAACACAAGACATCTCTGTCTAATTGGAAAGACGGTGAGCCAGGAAACGTGTGGGTCTCTTGCCCAGGAGTGGGCTCATGACTTAGAGGAAACTTCACTACCATCTGTCTGCCTCCCGCCCTTTGGGTTCATCATCCTAAATCAAGCTGCCCATCCCAACTGGTGAATGGCAAGCAAACTCCTATATAAGTCCCACTGAATCAATAGGTCTACTCTAGTTAGGACTCTCAATCCGATTCGCCCCTCTATCCCAAAACTCTATTGGGACTCAACAATACCTCAGCCAGAGGACTGCTCTTTGTAAAACAGGACATGCTAGCTGTCATCTCACAATGCTTTATCTTTCAACAGCTCTTAGGCTGGGTAGTCCAATTCTGTTTTAAAGCCATTCCATCATTTTGCAGTAGCCAATTGTGTAGCTGAACCGACAATGCACTTGTCTATGTCATCAGCCTCTCACTGTACAGCTCCCCCCCCCACATAACTCTGTTGTGTTCCAGCATAGGTGGTGTTCAAGTCTGGGAGGTGGAGGTGGATGCCTTAACCCCAAATTCCAGGAGGCACCTTCTTTTCCATGGCCAAACCATTTATGAATTCCAGGATTATAAGAGGGACAAAAACTTGGTTCTATCCATCCTCCCATTCCAGATGCATCTGGGAAGTCAACAAATACAGAACTTGAGGACAACGTCCTTCCTCCGCTGATTGCCTGCAACTGGTTTCTGATGAAGGGGAATCAGTTCATCCATCTCAACCCATCCACTAGTTAAGCCTTATCTTAAAAACACTCTTCTGCCAGTCCTGAGTCTGAGGTCAGCATTCAATATTGTAAATTCTGAGATATATCAAGACTTTTTAAAAAAGGGGGGGGAGGAATCCACAGCATCAGCCTTCCTTTCCAGAAACTTCTGGAACAAACTGGAAATCTGAAGAAGCTGCAAATTTCCACCCGTTTATTCTTCTGTGTCCCCAACTACAACATGCAAAACTGTGCCTGTCGCTACGGGCAAACTCTTTAATGCTCCTGTAATGTCACGCCACCATAAATCTTTGATGCACTTTGAGTAAATGAAAATTATAATTTAATGCTAGGGTTTAAATTTAAAAAAAAATCAAATTGTTCTCTTTGGTTCGAAGGTTTGAGGGAAGGCCAGTAGATTCCCAAGGAGACAAATGTCAACACCCTGTTTGTTCTGAGCTGTCCTGAACATCTGACATCTTTTAGGGAGAATGTCTGACATGGAAAGCTTACACATCCTTTTATCTGCACCTTTATTTTACCCGTTAAAGACATCTCCTGCTTGCAGGATCCAGACTGACTCTAAAATGACCCCAGAGGGGTTAGGAAAAATTAATTATTTGTCACCATAACCTTCTGACCTATGATGTTAAAGGTGCCAAGATAAACAAAGATTCCAGGTACTACCTGAGAAAAATCCACTCTCCCTGAATAATCATAACAGGCCAGTATGCCTTGTCTAAAAGGGTGTTTGTGTGATGTACAGGTTATCCTTGTAGGTGAAGGTGCAATAAGGAACAGGGAAACTTCCCCCCACCCCTCGCTTAAAGCTGAGAAGTTATTCAATTAAACTTAAGGGCAGAAGATTTGCTACTCTCTGGGAAAAAATTGATGGAGGAAGCCCAGGAAACCAGCCATGTAGGCCACTTTAAAATGGGCCCATGCACACATTCATGGCAACATCTGTTCTAACAAAGACAAGTACTGTAGTTAAATAGCCACAGTACCTAAATTGCAGCTTGAAAGTAGCTTGTTCAGAGAACTGACTGTTTTTCAGTAACTAAGAAATAACTGTGCCATATCATCATCGCCATCATTATTGTTATTTGTTTTATTTATAGGCTGCCTTGCTCCCGATAAGGGGACCCCCGGGCATCTCACAATATTAAAAAGAATAGAATTAAAAACATAGTAAGTTAAACATTTAAAAAATCAAGCTATGTGCTAATTACAGTACAATTGAATAATTTAGAGCAAGAAAACATTAAAAACGTAACTTTTAAAAAGACACTGGGGGACTCAGGATTGTTAAAAGCCTGCCTGAAAAAATAGGTCTTCAATGAGACGTAACCTCTCTTGTTAACATTCCTTGTTTTACGCAAAACTCTTTTAGTTCCTTTGATAGTTACATGCGCCTGTTTCATAGCAACAGGCCAGCAACTTGTTGGCCAGACGCTGTTCGAAAAGCAACTACGACTTCTAGAGCCTTCTGAATCCTTGGGGGAAGAGAGGTTATATCCAGAGATGGGAGTGACCCATCTTTCCCTGACTCTCCCGGCATAGGTGGCTATGACCCGCCTGCCTACCTAAGAGTAGCTTTGCCACCTCCACCCTTGGGACCGGGTTTAGCTGCAGGCCTCGGGACCACACCAAGGTCTGGAGCGTCCATGGGTCTTCCGATCCTGATCCATTTTCTCAGCCTTATAGCCTCGGGAAGGATTCTGGAGAACTTAGGAAAGCTAGCTGGAGTTTGAGCGGGTCCTAAAAAAAGCCAAAAGGGACTGCCTCCCGCAGATTTTGCAGGATTTGGTTCTCTCTCATGAACCACCACAGCTATCTTGTTGTCCCCCCCCCTCCTAAGTGAAACAGTAATTGCAACATTAACTAATGACATAGGAGAGAGCGCCCTGCCTTTTCTGACACTGCCTATAAGGGAGACGGGTGCTGGGCAGGGAATTGCCATCATAGGGACGGGAAAGAAGCATCGTTCTCCCAGGAGGGCTCCCGTCTCCCCCTTGTCTCGGCTAGTTCCTAAAGGAGTCTTTTACAAGGGCTTCCCCTTTTGCAAAACCGTTTTCCACCCGGACTAAGAGCAGGATGACAGCAGTGCAAACTGAGACCGTTAGGAGTATCCGTCTGTGATTTTTTGGGTTGGGCTGCAATTAAAACGTTCGGATGACAGCAGTGCAAACTGCGACCGTTAGGAGTATCCCTCTGTGATTTTTTTTTGGGTTGGGCTGCAATTAAAACGTTGCTCACAACTTTGGCCAAACCTTTGTGTCAGCCATGATGGATTTGCCACCAAGCCCCTGGGACATTTCACTTCCCCTTTCTGCTGAAGTCAGAGAATCGTCACCTGCCATCCTTTAGTCTTCCCTCCCCCCCAACCGGGGTGGGGGTGGGTGGAGGTGGGAAGAGTTCCAGCATCAAAACCAAGGAGCTCAGCAAGACACAGGAAAAAGACAAATTTCCTTTCTACAAAAGAACTGGGGTATTTATAAACCTACCAGACCATCTGATTTATCACTTATTATGAATATTGAAATGAGACATGATGGATGGGGCAAGGGGGCGGAGGAAGAATTTGAATTACATTGGGGGACTGGAGTTCTGTCCTAAGCTGCTTTGGGTCCTTTTGAGGGGAAAGGTGGGGGGAAATATTTTAAATAAATGCATTCCATGCCCCTTGTTCAGTATTTTGAGAACCTACAAAATAGTGCCATTTCAACTTGCTGATCCCTCTGGCCACAGCATTAGTTGCTGCTGAGCTTAAAAAGAGCAACCACCCCCAGCTGCTGATGGTTAAGGAATACAGAACCACACACAAAGCACCTCAATGCACTCCAGGCAGGACCAATGAACTCCAATGCACTTTGACAAAACGGGAAAACGTGCTGTTGCGGAAATGTCACCAAAAGTTCATTTGATTTTCTTTTGGTCCTGCCAACAGTCTAAAAGAGAAGGATGTAGACGACAGACTTGCCCTGAGAGAAACCAACTGCAGCCAAATTCAAAATCAAGCATCTTTCTGAGCCGAAACTTTCCAAAGTGCAAAGGAGTCTGGTTTCTGAAACGGAAAGAGCTTGAGAGTGACATTGTTTTGAAAAAAAGAAAAAGCGACCGGTTTTGTCCGTTCAGGCGGAGGAGGGCTTTGTGAGCTCGGCACGTCAAAAGTCCCTATGCGCTCAACTACATTCCGGTCGGCTTAAAAACAAGAATAAGAATACCCTAATATGACATTCCTCACTTCCTAGTGCAGGATTCCAAAAATCCTGTTAAACAGCAAAGGCATCTCACTAAAAGCCTCAAAGATCTGACAAACATTTGAACTTCAGATGGGTTGCAACAGGCCAACGTATGAATGATCATAGGAAGCTGTTCCCAGTCAAAGAGCA